CAAAAAATATTAACATTGATAAACACAAACCCATGTTAATTATTTAAACAACGATTTTGTTTTGACTAGCAAAGAAAAATTTAAGTTTTTAAATATTTTTAAAATTTTTAAAAGCGTTTCAACTTACGTTTTATAAAAATATAAAAAAGTTTTGTCTACTTTGAGCATATTTTTGATACGTAGTTTAGAACGCGTTTGCTAGGAATTTAATTCATAAATTTTTTATGTTATTGTAAAAATATTTAACTTTTTAAACAAATCACAAAGAAACAGAGCTATAGAGAAAAATCGTTTTCAACGATTAAATCTTTTTTTTTTTTAATTATAGGAAATTAAAAAAAAAATTAAATTTAATATAAGTCTTAATTATGCAAACTCTTTTGTTAATTATTCTTAAAACAAAAAACAAATACTTCTACACCAAACTTTAATTGTGCAAACTTAAAAAAATACTCAACTGAAATAATTTAACTATATTTAATAATTTGAATCGTATCTGTTTATAATAAACGTTCGTAAAAATTTGTTTATTAAAAATTAAGTTCCTTAACTTATAAACAAACTCAAAAGTATTTTCATTCTACGTATAATTACAAAACTCTTTTTTTTTTTCGTTTGTAAGCAATTTAACTTAATAAAATAAAAAAAAGAATAAATATGAGGTAATCTTTGTTAAGAATAAATTTAATTTATTTATTGAACTATATTTTTATTTTTAATTATATATCAACTTAATTAAAATATAGTAACATGTTAAAATATTTTAACATGACTTGTATTATTTATAAACCGTTGGGCAGTTGCCCTTACGGCACTATTGTTTTTGGATAATATTTTATTTTGATGAAGATCACAAAACTTACATTTAATTTTAATAACGTAAGTCTTCTCTTTTTCTGTGATCATCGCATCGGCAAAGTCCCAAGATTTAAAAGTTTTTAAAGTAAATCTTTTGTCCTTCAAAATACAATCCATATTCGAACTTTAAACAATTTAGAGATAAAAGAAATATACAAGATTTTTATATACTAGTTTGTTTTGTTTTATAAAGAAAAATACATATTAGTAAAAAATGGAGACTGTCATTAAACTAAAACGTGCCTTAGTATTTATTTAACGAAACCTGTAATGTGCGCGTGCATAATAAAACCTCCGTTATATAAATATATTCAACGTAATATTAGTGTCATCAGCGGATGTTGTAGTCTATTCATGATTTCTTTACCTTATAATATAACTTGATTTATGAAAAAAAAAAACTTATTGAATTGCACGCAGAAGAATTTTAACAAATTGTCTTCATTCAAATATTGCGAGTAACAGGTAATTTTTTTTTTCTGTGCCAACCTCCTCCCCCCGCATAACTTAAACTATATACCTTTAACTAATAAGAAAAGCAAAGACATTTTTTTTAACATCTCGAAAAAATGTCTTGATATTTTTGTTATCATGATAACAAAAATATAAAGACATTTTTTGAGATTTTATTTAAAAAAATGTCAATTCTTAATTACAAATTTTATTGCAAATGTTTTTTATTATAAATTCAGTAAAAAATTCATAAATATTCTATACTACAAAAAGTTTTTATATTCTGTATTAATAAATATGGAATATAGATTTTTTTAAAGTTTTTTACTAAAAACTTTAAAAAATTACTACTTTTTATTAAAAGCATTGCAAAAGATTTGTAGTTAAGGATTGACAAACAATTTTTCATGTTGCTAAATATTTGGAAAAATTCTTTTTCTAAAAAAGTTGGACTGTCAAGTTTTTCTTGTATATATAAGGTCGGAATCCTTTTGGGGCTCTGCATCCCTGATGATAGCAGTAGCAGTCAATGACACACCAAATCTGACAGATGCAATGACAGCATTACTAACAGCATGGTAATTTCGTCTTTGAGTCTTTCACTATTTTTAACTTTATCGCTATCACTGACCATATCAACATTGGAATTGACTGAAATCTGACTTTTCTTCTCGACAACAAGAAGAAGCTTTTAAAGCTTCTTCTCGTTGTTGATTGAGCCTTGCTTGATCGATTGACTTGAGAAAGTTTTTGAATCTAAGCTTGTCAGTTTCTTTAACATCCATGTCAAACTCTTGCATAGATGAAACACTACCTTGTTTTTCTTGCTGGGTTTTAATCCAGACAAGCTCTTTTTGTGGAATTTTTAAATTTAAGTCACATTTGCAAAGACAATGAGGTCATATTATAACAAAATTCTTTGCAAGGGGCATCACTGCAGTAAACAATTTTGCGTTTACAAAAAGCAATGTCTAAAAGTTTATCAAGTTTAGATTCCCAGCGTTCTTTATTATTGGGCGTTGTGTTGAGCTCTACGTAGTCAATGCTGACCTCTACTGAGTCTTAGTTCTATAGATTTAGTACCACAAACTATAGGATCTTTAAAGGGATCCCCCACTGCCGAGACAAGTTGTTTTCATATTAAAGAAAATGTTTTAAAAAAGCATTTGGGATAAGTTTTTTTTATTTAAACTTTATAATGAATGCTCACCATTAAATTTAAAATTCATGATTTAGTCGAAGCTTGTTATCTCCATTTTTTTTTGGTTCTCGGAGTCTGTAAATGTTAACCGCAATCTGCAGACTTGATAATTTATTCCATGCGTGTTAATTCATAACAGTTTCGGTATATGATGTCATCGTATAAATTTTTTCTTTCAAAATGTCGTATTATTTTTTTGCCAAAATAACCAAATCATGTTAAATGTATAACTTTTTACTAAATCCGAAAAAAAGTTTTTGATCCAATTAAAAATTAAATTTGTAAAAATAAAAGTTTAATATATAACAAATATTTACAGTAAAACGTACTGGTTTAAACTAAATATAAACTAGATACTAAAAGAATAATTTTATTAAAGCGTATAAATTAATTTAAAGTGTAAACTGAAAAAAAAAACAAGTGACTTGAATAAAACATATTAACTGAACTAAGTAGAAAATAAATATTAAACAACTTATTTTACTAATAACCGTTCAAATCAAACTAAATTAAAGTTAAAACAAATATTTGTACTAAAATATACAAGAAATAGTTATAATATAAATATAAAAACAAAGAATCACATTAAATTGTTCGCTATTAGCCAAACAAAAATTAAAATTCGATAATAATAATAAATTACACAATGATAGCTCTTATTTTTTCTTGATTATGTAGAGAATTAATTAAACCTTCAGAACAAACAAATTCTATGAGTCTAGAATATAAATTTATGTACTAAACAAGATAAATTGTAAAGCATACTCGAAAGCCGCTACCAGTTGCTTGCGGTAGTGGAAGAGTTAAACCATAACTAAATGTAAATTAAACATAAAACGAATAACTCTATTGAACCATATAAACTAAATATAAAACAAAAAACCGCATCATATTGGCTTTGTTTTTTCTCTGCCTGCGAACTCTAATAATCACAAAACATGTATAATTGGCTGGCTTCTACAACATAAATAAATAATAAACATAAAACAATAATAAAACAAGTAAAAAAAATAATATATATATATATATATATATATATATATATATATATATATATATATATATGTATATATATATATATATATATATATATATGTATATATATATATATATATATATATATATATATATATGTATATATATATATATATATATATATATATGTATATATATATATATATATATATATATATATATATATATATATATATATATATATATATATATATATATATATATATATATATTTGTATAATTTTTTACTAAATCAAAATATTTTTTGTAATTTAGAAAAAAATTATACAAATATTTGATTTTCTGATTGTAGTAGAAAAAATACTTATATCTTTAAAAAAACAACAACAAAAAAACGCTATCTAAAAAGATATTGCGATAACGTCATATACCGAAACTGTTATGAATTAACTCGCATTGAATAAATTATCAAGTCTGCAGATTGCGGCTAACATTATACATACCCCGAGAACCAAAAAAATGGAGAAGGTGAGCTTCGACTAAAACTCTAATTTTAATTTTGTTGGTACGCATTCATTATTTAGTTTCAATCAAAAAAATTTAGCCCAAATATTTTTTTTTAACTTTTTCTTTAATATGAACACAACTTGTCTCAGCAGTTGGGGATCACTTTAAACTCTGTGTTAGAAATAAACAATCATTCTGCAGTTTTTTGGGCAACATTAGAAAAAATTTCTTACATTGATAAAATATGTGGATTTTTTTCATAAACTAGTATTTTTTTCTTGTTGCAGATCAAGACATTGCTGCAAACAATTGCGTAATGTTGGAAATTCACTTTGAAGAAACTTTCTTGTACCTCCAAGATATTCGCTAAGCTTTAGTGTTGATGGATTTTCTGGTTTTCTTACTATCTAATGATGCCATTTTTCTATTTTAAATTTATTATGAATCAGAAAAATAAAATAGCAGGAATAATAGCATTTAATTTGAAAATAAGTCTATAATAGCTATCATCATACTTATAAGGTATATTTTTATATAAACTAGCACACATACAAAAAATAAAATTTTAAAAAACAAAAAACATTAATTAAAAAACAAAAAACAATAAAGCATATGATTAATCAATATTATAAATAGTAATTATGTACATTTGAAACATAAATAGTCAACATTTAGGGAAAAAACTTAGGAAAAGCAATGTACTAAATCAAAACTAGAACATGCATAAGTATGATATACCCTAAAATATATATATATATATATATATATATATATATATATATATATATATATATATATATATATATATATATATATATATATGTATAACATAACATCTAAATTTTACTGTTTGTGGTAATGTATATATGTGTGTGTGTGTGTGTGTGTGTGTGTATTTAAAGTGAATTTCAATTAGGTTTGTATTTAGTTGAAGTTAATAGTTGCATATAAATTATATGTTAAGTAAAAGTAATGGAATGTAGTTAAATATTGTTTTGATATTTAGAACGATTGAAGGGCAGTATGGACTTCTTCAAGCTTATGTAACACCACGAATGCAACCCAAAACATCACAAGTTCGCCAATACCAGATCAAACCTTTATCTCTACATCAGCGATCTCATGTTTTCGATGAAGAAAGGCCTTTTAATGTTCTTAAACTTACTGGTAATTTTAGTCTTGCTGAAGTGCATTCTTGGATTTTTTATACATTACCAGAGGTTCCAGAGCGAACACCAGCTGAAGATGAGGTAAATTTTTTATTCATTAATGTTAATAATTTTATCATTACTAAGTCTGAGTAAACTCATTTTGATGAAACAAAAAACTAAACTACTCTTAGTCTATCAACAGAAATTTATATTTTCTAGGTCCATTTTTAGTACCAAAAATTTTTTAATTTGTCTAATATTTGCATAGATAGATTGATTTAAGTATATAGATTTTGGATATGAAATTAACTCATAATTTTTATTTTTGTGACATATTTTTTGTGACATTTTTTTCAGCTAATTGTTATCACAACATTTTAGACTTTCCTATATTTATAAACAGTAATGTACTTGATAAGTCATCTACCCTTCATCTTCTAGAATTAACTCTTCCGATCTTTCTTGAAAACCATATATTAAATTTGTTGCAAAATTAGTATCTGCTAAGGTTGCATCTCTTTATTGAGCTCGACACTTTCTTACTCCGGATTCTATTCTCTATCTCTATAATTCTCTAATCCGGCCTTGCTAGTGTCTCTTGTGCCACCTAATAAAAGTCATTTTTATGTTACTCGTCATTCAATTAAGTCTCATCCTTTTTCTGTGACTGTTCCCAAGTGCTCCAAAAACTCTTATTCGTCTAGTTTTTTTCCTCGAACATCAGTTCTTTGGAATTTGCTTTTTTTATCTTATTTTCCTGATTCATATAATTTGCAATATTTTAAGTCGTCTGTCAATCTTTATTTTGTTCTACAATCTTCATCTTTTCTCTTCCAGTAACTTTTAACTCTAATTAGTGGTTGCTTGCATCCTTGTTGGAAGCGATGACGTTTAATATATATATATATATATATATATATATATATATATATATATATATATATATATATATATATATATATATATATATATATATATATATATATATATATATATATATATATATATACTTGATAAGTCATCTACCCTTCATCTTCTAGAATTAACTCTTCCGATAGTATATATATATATATATATATATATATATATATATATATATATATATATATATATATATATATATATATATATATATATATATATATATATATTATATATATATATATATACTAGCTGATCGGACCCGTACTAACAGGTCTTTGTAAGTCTATTCCAAACCGAACTTTTCTTTTACTTTTTCCTTATATACCCTAGCTTTCCGGATCCATAAAAAAAGGGGCCTTTATCAAACCTACCATTTCTATACATCTATTCCACCCTGACTATTTCTATACCTATTCCTTATTTATTTTAATATTTTTTAGTAAAATAATTTATTCTGAAAATAACTTTGAAAAAAAAAATTTAATGTGCCCACCTTTTCCACATACATAGAGTTTATAAGAGATTTATAGTTAGGTTTGTTTTTTTCATAAATCTATTTTATTGGTAGCTCAATGTTTTAGTGTGCTGTCATCAGTGTCGTTTTTGGGGGGCTAAGATCTGTCCTTAGCTTAATAAGTTTTGACATTTTTTAAATTTTGCTTATATATTTATCGCAATATATATATATATATATATATATATATATATATATATATATATATATATATATATATATATATATATATATATATATATAGCAAAAAAGATTTCTAAGACTTAAAATAAAATTTTAAAGTTTTCTAATTTTATAGATACATTATACATGATTATTCCATATAATGCCTGTAAACGTTTACAGACGTTTGTACTTAACGCTATACAAATGGAACTAAGAAGATCTTAGACCACTAAAACATAGTCATAAAAAAAAAGTTCATTCTTATGATTATGATTAAAAACTAAAGACATGGTCTCAGCTATTAAAAGCTAATCTAAAGGTTGAGCAACCGTGGCGCAGTGATAGTGGTAGCTTACCCACCTCTGGGTAAGTTTTGCACGATTTGTTAGGAAGGAGGTGTGAACTTCCAATTAAATGCTTATCCGCGGTGCTCTGTGATAAGATTGTTAAGACTTCTTGGGGCATCTAAAAAGCAGGACTGTATTATTAAATTTTTTCTTTATTAAGTTTCTGACAAAATTTTTGCTGACCTCTGCAGCTTATTAGACTAATTACCTAAGCACATTAATAACATAAGTATCTCAATCATGACACATACCCAACAAATTTTTTCTCCCCGTGTTTTGATGTTTTTAGAATTTTTAGCTTTTTTAAAAACCTTTTGGTTTGTTAAAATGTATAATATCGATACAAATGTTTGTATATAATCTCTATAAAATTTCAAAAGTATTTTGTATTTTAAAATAATCGAAAAAAGAAAAAAAGAAAAGTTGCCAGTGAAAGGACTCAACTAGACTTTTAAGTTTAGAAGTTCTGAGCGCCATCCAATTGGCTACACTTGCATGTTGACTTACTTAAATTTTTAAAACTATATAGTGATTTTTTTAACAGAAATGAATGCTATAGATCTAAATTAAGATGTTGCCACAATGCAATTTTTAAGTGAGAGTCAGACTGTAAAACTTGATAAATGTTTCAATATGTTTTATCATTACTTAATTTGAGGTTTACGTATGTTAGATATTTGCATACATGTTTGTTCACGTTTTTTCATAATAAAAATGCTGCAACTGGTTCTTGCCACTGCCTCGGTTACAAAATATTGATCATTACAATAAATAAAAAATAATTATAGATTATTTATTATTATATAGAAATTTGAGTAATTTTTTTTTATTAGAGTTAAAAGCTGCATAAATATTCTTGTGCTCTCAAGATGATAAATAAAAGTTTTTATTATATATATTTCTTTTATGTTTTTTTTTTTTAACGTTCTGTTTGTATAAAAAAAAAACTGTCGTTAACTATAAACAATTTTATTTTCTGTTACTAAATATTTTGATAAAATAATTAGCTTGATAGAAATTAGGTTTTTGTAGTTTTTATTTTTATTTGATTTTTTTTCATTAGTAAATGGCGCTTCTATCTAACATAATTATCATTCAAACTTTTGTAACAAACTTTTTTACATGATTATCATTCAAAAGTTAATGTGGTTATTTATAAAGTTGATGACTTCTTTTATCCTACCGCTTATAAAATAATTTAAAAGTTAAGAAAGATAAAAAGTTGCTTAATGAAAATCGCTCTAGGCACACGTAAGGTGTACGTAAATTGCCAGCAGCTTAACACTTTAAAACAAGGCCTGATATATATTTTATACTGCTGGTTTAGGTGAGCAGTCTGATTTCATACTGAAATAGCATGCTGCAAGGGGCTTCAATACATACATTGACTGACAAATAGCCTGACTGGCAGCGGAGTGCTGCTACATCGACTGAGGGTTTGGCATTGCGCAGTTTTTCATATTTAATTGATGTAACAATATGGTAACAACTTGTTACATAAATATGCTATAGTAGATATATATAGATATATATGCAGGGGTGTACCCTCCGGGTTTTTTTTGGTTGCCCTGCAGGGAAAACAGTCTTTATTTCTCATTTGAGTCATCTACTATGACAATCAGTAGTCCGGTGTAAAAGTTTTTTTTTTGTGTATTTTTTCTCGGGTGAAAAAATTTAAACATCTGACTAAAATGCGTCTAATAAGAAATGTTTTTTTTTTAAAGTAAATTAAATAATTTATTAATTAAATTATTTAAAGATGTGTCGTCATTTTTGTCGTTGTTGATATTGGTTTTGTATCATTTCTTTTTGTCAATCTTAACAAAGGTTTCATTACGTAAAGAGAAAAATAAAAAAAAAGTTGTAAACCAAAACTGCAAAGAAACGTTTTATAAATAGAAAAATATTCTATTATTCTCTCTCAAACTTCAATCAAATTTAATTTAGTTGAATGTTCAAAACATTTTTTAATGTTATAAACATTTTTCATTATACTAAGAGTGTCTATGTGCGTTCTAATAATTGCTTTCTAATCAGGGCTGATGGCCCGAGGAAGAATATGTGGCAGGAGGGGGGCACATGCCTCCTACTTTTTTTTTTAAGAAAAAATTGTAGATATAGAGGACTTTTTCTAGAAATAGACCATTGTGCCTCTCTACTTCAAAATCTGTGAGGTCGGCAATGCTAATAGCGATTTTTCACATGTATCTAAATAATATTTTTTATCTTAATTGACAAAATTAAAATAAAAGTTTATTTTACTTATGAAAAAGCAAAAGAGATTCAGTGTTATTGATGATTCAATAACATTGAATCAATTATTTACTTGATTCAAAATACGATTATGTTTTAAAAATAATATATTAGCATTTGTAATTAAAAAAAAAAATGTAATTTTAAAACTTATTTTGAATTGAGAAGAAATTTGCTTCAAAATGCAACAACAATTTAAAAAAAAAAACAGTTTAGTTGCACTTCGAAATAATAAATCGCGTGTCAGCTTCTTTTTATTGTTAAACAATGTGTATACTCATTTAAATGTTTTTTAAAGTTTTCTTTTAAATAATTGCAAGGAATAAAATCTTCATAGATCAAAATATAGTTTTATTAAAAAAAACTCTATTGAGTAACAAACTGTCTGGTCATCCTGCCAGGCCATTGACAGGCTTTTTTTTTTTTTACTTCAGTTGCCCTTGGAGGAAACAAGATGTCCCATGCCACCAGACAAGGGTACACCCGTGATATATTATATATATATATATATATATATATATATATATATATATATATATATATATATCCACAGCGGAAAATGAAAAAGTAGTCAAATTTTATTCTCTTTTTCATCAACTTTTAGCAAATGAATATTGATATAGACACATGAAAGTAAAATGTTATTTTAATCATTGTAAAATGTTATTTTAACCAGGAGTTTATTTGCAAATTAATTTAATGTGAAAATGGAGCTAACATGTTCAAATTGTTGTTAGCATTTTAAAAATTCAACTTAATGAAAATAAGACAATACGCACAAACGTAAGAAGTGTAAGTAAAAATTTTGACTAAAGATTTAAATGACTTAACAAGTATATAATTGTCATTAGTAATTTTTTAAGGTTGCTCTTAGTCTTGTGGTAAAAACTTTTTTCAATTTGATAACTTTTATAAATATTATGAAAAATCACTCAGGAAGACAAGTTTTTCAAAACTGCCTTTTGCAATATTTTTTGAACTTCTAAAAAATCTAACTCTTAGTAATGGGTATTAAAAATCCATAATGTAGCTTGGTAAGTGATGTAACATAAGTTAAAAATATAATAACAAAAAAATTTGTTTATTTTCCTTAGCCGGTCACCGCTGATAATTTTTTATATATTTTTCATATTAGTATAGAATTCTCAACATCTTGTAAAAGTTTCTAATACAAACCGCTTGAAAAAAAAAAATCGCAGAAAAAAAAGGTAAAAAAGTTGAAGCAATTTTTTTACCTTTTTTTTCTGCGTAATGTAAGTTAAGTGGCATTTTCAGTAATAAATTCGTTATCTTTTGGCCATATTCAAAACTTTCTATTTTATTCTTTAGACAAAAAAAGTTTAATTTACACTTTAAATAGGCAAATATTTGATGAAGTGTTTAGTTAAAGTTAAAAATGTAGTTAAATATATATATATATATATATATATATATATATATATATATATATATATATATATATATATATATATATATATATATATATATATATATATCTGTATATATCTGTATTGTTTCATTAAAATGTTAAAAAATCTTTTCAAATTTATTTTAGGTTACTTTCTACTTTGTATCAACATTTTTGGATACTCAACTGGAATGTAAATATAAGTATGTTCAATATTTAAAAATATTTAACTTAACATCTAATTCAAATTTTACTTTTAGGTAGAGGAGTTTTACTCTTATGTTATGAAGTTTCACTAATAGATAATGTAGTTTAGAGAGCCTATATACTCAGAGAGCAGACATATGTGTGATTGTTTTTGATTGGTTGTTTGATTTTTGTGATTTTAGGCGCCATCTTTTTACCAAAAATACTAACTGCGATCAAAGACTACTACTAAATTTGTATTAAATATTTTAGAAGTATGCCTGGTTGTGCTGCAGTAGGCTGCTATAAACGGCCTGAGAAAGGATTTTTTATAAAATGCTTGCCAAGAAATAAAAAACAACAGGCAATTTGGACTTCTAAAGTTAAACGACTTAACTGGATACCTGCAAGCACAAGCTTTTTATGTGAATAAGCATAAGAAAATACAGTTTTATGTAATTAATCCTAGAAATGAGTTATTTTAGAATCCATACAAATACATTATATTCGTTCAATTTTTTTATTGAGGTACACTTTGATGCTGATCAATGGGAAAAAACCAGAGAAGACGGATCAAGAAAACTCAAACATAATGCAATTCCTACTATCTTTAAACATGTTAGACCGAAACATAAGCGAATAAATCCTCTCGAGCGCTTTCCAATACCAAAAAAAAGAAAATAAGTTGTATAGAAAGTGGAGAAGTTGTGGAAAATATTTTAATTGAAGTAAATAACAATGAAGTATCTGAATCACTTTGCACAATTGAGGTTGATTTAAGTCATTTTGCTGTACTAAAAGTGGTATTATTTCTAGTTCAATTAAACACCTGTGACCCTACTCGTACAATTGATTTTTTTAGCAGATGTGTCACATTTATTAAAGAATATAAGAACATCTCTCTTATGTAATAAACATTTTATAATAACAGCTAAGATTCAAGAAAAATATAAACTTCAATTGCCAATTATAAATTCAAAATACCTTAACAAGCTTCTAGACTTTTAAGAAGGTATGGATTTGAAGTTTGCTTACAAGCTTACATCTGAACATCTTGATGAAAAATATTTCAACAAAATGAAAGTATCGAGAGAAACATCTGTAATGAATCATGATGTAAGTTGTGGATTAAAATTTATTGCAAATGAAATAAAAGATGATTCTATTCTCACAACTGCTTGGTTTATAGGAATTGTTGATAAATGGTTTACATTAATGACTTCACGAAACCCAGGTATGGCTCTTAGCATGAAAAATAACAAAGTTTACAATGAAACAATAACTTTTTTAAATGAAGTCATAGAGATATTCCGTTGTTTAAAAATATTAGGCCAAACTGGAAAAATAAGGTGGAAACCTATTCAATCTGGCGTTATATTATCAACAACATCAGTTATTAACTTGCAAAATAAGTTTATTCTAGTTAATAAGTTTGTTTTTCTAATGACATCGCGATTTATGCCGGATTGCCTAGAGAATCTTTTTTCCCTGGTACATGCAAAACAAGTAATTCCTACTGCTCCTTAATTTAAAAATAACTTGAAACTTATTTGCATTGCCCAATTCTTGAAAAAATCATCAAAAGGCATTTATGATATAGATGACCATCAATTCTTATTTGGTTTTCTTGATGTAGTTAATAATAAGGTGCATAAGCCACAGCAAAGAGAGTGCATAGTGTTACCCAAAGATTGGGATAAAACCTCTAACTTAATCTTAAGTAATGCTGAGCAAAATTGTTTGTTTAATATTGCAGGTTATATAATTTCTATAGTTAAAAAAATTGAAAAAGTTTGCACAATTTGTTTTGAATCTCTAGTTTCTAAAAATAGAGTTAATGCTGATTACACAAAGTTTGTTACATACAAAGAGCACAAAGTGGGTAGTTTATTTTTTGCTAATGCAACAACATTTGTATTCTTTTTACAAATGGAGTTAATATTCAGATCATTTGAGCCATACCTTAATTCCCAAAAGAATTGTAATACTATGCTTTTAGAGAAAATTAATTCTGATGAACAAATTAAAAGTTTAACTTTGTATCCTAATTGTCATCAAATTAAATTGAAGCTAGAAAACAGGTTTATAACATTCAGACTTAAAATATTTAGCCTTAAAAAAAAAGCGTTTATTATGAAAAAACTAAAAAAAGTACTTGTGAACTTGGCAGCAAGAGTATAACAATGCATGCATTGGCACTAAAGGTTTAGGTTCAACTAATTTATAAAATAAATTGTAAAGTTTTTTTAAGTTACTTATTGATTACAACTACTTTTTTTCTGTGTTTTTTTTTTAAAGGTATTTTCCAAATAAATAAATAGTTTTGAAAAAATAAAACATAAAAAGTTTTAATTTTTTTAAATATTTTTGTTTAAAATATTATTGTGCTCATTTGTTGTTTTTTTTCTTTCAATTGTTTTTACTGGATTTCGTGAATGTCATACGCTAGTTTGGCAAAAACATGGCCACCATTTTTCTGTATGTCCGCTCTCTGAGTATATATGTGTGTGTATATATATATATATATATATATATATATATATATATATATATATATATATATACACACACACACATATATACACACATATATATATATATATATATATATATATATATATATATATATATATATATATATATATATATATATATATATATATACATACACACATATATATACATGTAATATAATAGAGTACTAGTACAAATAAAGATTTACTATATGTGACATTGTTTTGATATAACTTACTTTTCAGAGTTTTTTATTTTTTCAGAGAGTGAGAATTTATTTAAACCAAAATACAATTGTTGTTTGATAACTGGCAATGCATTTTTCTTATTATATATATTTTTGCTCAATTAGAAAAGGTCAAGCTGTATTTCGTTCTGACAATGTTTCTACGATATCAATCTTAAAAGATGTTTTAACAAAAGAAGCAACTAACCGAAAAATTAATTTACAAATCATATGTGATCTCAATGAAGAGTCTATAACAAATGTCCTTTGTCGGTTGCATCCAAAACTTGAGCATCAACTTTTGTTGGCTAAGCAAGTCCAATTAATTGATGGACTTAAAGAGTTGCAAACAAATGAAAGTGACACATCATTTATGAGCAATGAATATAATGAAATTCTTAACAATGCTGATATGCTTTTGGAAGAATTCAAAAAACAACCTTGTCATCTTGAGAGACTTTATGGTATGATCACTGATTTATACATAGATCGTCACAAATTTAAAGGGGTCAATGTAAAAAATAAAGTTGCTCAGCTGATTGAAGTACTAGATTCCTATGATTTGGACACCTTGATTCAGTTTTTTCAACAGAGTTAATTTTAATTATTTTATTTTATATTGCATATTTATAAGGGTTTTAAAAAAATGAAAATTAGATGTATCAAATATAACATTATTAAATGTATTGATTGAAATTATGTAAAGTAAGTTTTTATATTTTATATATCTTTATATATTATTGTGTGTGTAAATGTAATATATACAAAGTCATTATCATATTGAAAATTAATTATAAGTTTATTGTCAAATTTTTTTAAACATTGACCCAAAAACCTGTACAAAAAGTATTTATGTAATCATATGTGTATATGATAATAAATTATATTATATTATTGTAGAATTTATTACATTATATTCATTATATATTTTTACATTTGTGATAAATATTTATTATATTTATAAATGATAAAAATAGTTTTAGTTTTTTCAATGTTTGTTATAAAAGTGTTTGAATAAATCATTAAATTCAACATTTAAAGAATTTATTTATTTTTATTTTCAGTGTGCTCAAGAAAAAAAGTGTATAAAATCTTAACTTGATTGTTCAAACTTAAATTATGACTTATGCTTTTTGTTTAATGAATTTCTTTTTAAAGTTAATTTTTTTAAAAAGAACTTTAAATTTCTTTATTTCTTCACACTGTTATTGACAAATTTGAAAGGTCAAGAGTGACTTTTTGTAAGAATCAGGCAAAAGTACAAATTTTTAATAGTGACCTCTAAAATTGATTGTTTTTAATATGTTGTTACTAATCATACTAAAAGATATTCTAAAATTTAAAAAAAAATTTATTTATTGGTTCTCTAGATATTGGACTTTAAAGTTTGACAAATTTTAGGGAATATTAACCTAATAGTGATAAAAACATTTTTTAACTTGAAAACAGAACAAACTATATACTTTTCAATTTTTTTAAAATTATCATAATTATCTAGAAAAGTACCTAAAAATACAAACATACTTATGATAAAATAAGGTCTAAGGCTCAAAATCTAGTTTTAAAACAGAGTTGTGTAGATTAGCACAATTTTTGTGTCCTTTCATCTACCATATTTAAAAAAAAAAAAAAAAAATTTGGAATAAAGCTTTTAGTATAATTATTTTAAAATTTTTTTTGGAAACCTTATAGTATGATTTTAGATTGTGTAATTCTTACAAAGAGTTGCTCTTAAGAACATTAGTGGTCGGCAACCATTTCATAAAACCATATATAGTATATGCACTCTTTCCTCATATATATATAGTACCATGAACAGGTCGCCAACCCCTGTTTTTAATTTTTTGTGTTTTATTTAATTTTAAAGTTAATTTTTTCACAATAGATTTTTTTTTTTCTAACAAAAATAAAAATGGCTGGAAACTTTTGGTTATCTTCACATTGTCAGCAGTGGATGCTAAATCCAGAAGAACTTTCTGCAGAAATGCTTCATGATTCAAAATATCTTACAAGTAAAGAAATTCGTAAACTTCATATTTTTTTTTGTCATTTTATACAGACTCTTGGAGAGTGTCTTAAATTACGTCAACAAGTTATTGCAACTGCAATAGTCTATTTAAAACGTTTTTATTCGCGTCATTCTTTAAAAAGTGCTGATCCACTATTACTAGCACCGACATGCCTTTATGTTGCTTCAAAAGTGGAAGAGTATGGACCAATGTCTAATAGCCGGTTGATAAGTGCTTGTACCACTGTTTGTAAATCAAGGTTTAGTTATGCTTATCCATCAGAGTATCCTTATCGAATTAATCAGATATTAGAATGTGAGTTTTTTTTGCTAGAAGTCATGGATTGCTGTCTGATTGTGTTTCACCCATACAGGCCTCTTACTAAATATGTGGTAGATATGGGACAGGAAAGTAGTATTTTGCCATTTGCTTGGCGAGTAGTTAATGACAGTTTACGCAGTGATGTGTGTTTATTATTTCCGCCATACTTAATTGCTCTTGCTTCAATTTATATGGCTTGTGTTTTTGAAAAACGGGACTGCCACCAGTGGTTTGCTGAATTAAACATAGGAATTGATAAAGTGCTTGAAGTTGTCAAGCATATAATAAGTCTTTATGAAATCTGGAAAACGTTTGATGAAAAAAAAGAAATATCAGGTTTGTTAGCTAAAATGCCAAAGCCAAAATGTCCTCCAGCATCTCGACCATCTTCAACAACACCTCTAGCTCACCAGCATACACCTTCACCTAGTATGAGATAAAAATGTGAAATATAAGACCATTAACAAGTATTAATAAAGAAATGTAATTTATTATATATTTATAATTGAATAAAAAGATTTATATATTTTTTTCCTCTTCTTATTGATATATGGTTTTTTGTGAATATTAAAAAGTTTAAAATCTTTTTAATTAGTGTTTGTGTTGTTTATTATTTTTACTTTTTTTAAGTTTTTTTTATTACTTTATTAATTAAAAAGAAGTTGCATAATAATTTAAAAAATTTTATAATAAATTTTTACATAAGAACATAAGTAAGCAATCTTTGCTCTTTTGTTGCATACATATCTCTACACTTATTATTGTTACAATCATTTATCTCTACACTTTAATTCCATCACACAAGCCTTGATAAATAAAGCTGCTATGCAAAGAAACAAGTTGCAAACTTACAAGGCTCTACCACTACCACATCTTAAGTTGCAGCTTTGTGCAATTTTTTTTGTTCTAGAATATGGATGTTATCTATTATTAAAAATCTGAAACTATTATTATATATTTAGTTATTATTATTATCAAATATATATCATATTTAAAGTTATTTTTATTTTAATTAAAAAATTTGTTATTGTCATTGTGTTAGTTTTTATTTTGCACATTTTACAATCATCAGGTCTTCACCTAATACATAAATAAATTGTTAAACCAAATTATTTGTCTGGGTCATGATGTTAAGCTTATATTAGGCTTGAGACTTTTTAACTGTAGTTAAGGAAAAACTCTGACATAAAATCGTTTAATTGTGAGGAAGGGTAGTAGCTCAAAAAACTTATAGATAGTAATTTTTCTAGTTGTGGTATCACATTAAAAATACTCAATCTTAATTTCTCCAAAACACGTTAATGCTAGGTTAATGCTAAAGCTATATTCCATAATGTCATATTTAAATAGCAAAACCACACAAATGCTGAGTCATATATATTAAACATAAATAAGAAAGAAGTATGACATAAATAAGAAAGAAGTATTTTAATAAATAATTTTACATAAATAAGAAAGAAGTATTTTAATAAATATTTTTATATTTATTTATACAAAGTTTTAAATTTAGAATAAATACCTTGTAATATATATGAATATATATATACAGGTCCATAGCAACCGGGGCGTCAGTCATTTCAATGCATAAGATGTAGAAAAAAAAGTTTTTTCCCCATCTTTTGCATCACATTTGATTTTAACATTACTTCCCAAAAAAATCCAATAGAAGAGAGATCTTGTAATTTGGAAGGCTAAAGCATTCTATTCAATATTTGATTGTTCTCAAACTCAGTCAAATAACTTATACAATTTTTTTGTAATATGTTTTGGATTTAAGCTGTAAGTCATTTTCTTCTGAAAAAATAAATGGCTTCGCATTAAACTATCTTTCCAAAGGTGTGGCATGATTTTTTTAAGTAAACTGCTATTGTTATTACTCCCTCTATTTTTACAAAGTCATCGTTGGTACTCCAACCAAAACAGCTCCACACCTTAAAACTACATCCTGCATGTTTTACAGTCTACTACACATTATTTACACACTATTTTATCATACATCTAACAATTATTTTTCCTAGAAAACAGTCTTATCTTTAACTAAAGACTTAAAACTTCGACACATAGGTCCACATTCACAGTCGTAAAAACATGCCTAAAAAAATTATTTTTAAAAAACTTAAAAATATTGACTTTTTTTATTTTCAGCTTAAAAACAATATTTTTTATGCATTTACACCTGAAAAAATTATTTTTATGAAAAATGATTTTCATTTATAAATTTTATATAATTTTGATTATTTTGAGTACCAGGTTGACATACTTTAAAAAAAATTTTTTTTTTTTTAATATTAGGGACCCATCAAATTTTTAAGGTCCTGAGCTACCCCAAAAAATATATTTTGTTCAAAAAAACTTTAAACCTAGTGTTTTAGTATTATATAGAACAAATTAAAGGGATAAGAGCAGGGTTTTCTCAAAAAAGTTGTTTTAAATATATATATATATATATATATATATATGTATATGTATATATATATATGTATATATAACCCATGATCATATAAGCCATCTAGTTATTAAATTTGCTTCTTTAAGCTATAAGTACAACATTGCTTATGATTATTGCTTTAAATTTTTAGATGATAACTATATACATTATGTTGCAGTGATGGTCAGGAACAGAATGTTGAAAAAATTCTTAGAGAAAGTTCGGTACCAAAAAGATTTACGACATTATATTATGTATTCAACATTTTTTATAGGAATAATGTTTTTAATTTATATGTTTAATTTGCTTCCATATGCAAAAACAGGAGCTCAATCAGAATTTACTTCTTCTGTCTGTCCTGCACTAGAATTTTCTCATCGCTCACTTCAACAAAAGTTGTGCCATTACGATCCTATATATCCTCTTTCATCTCCTGAAGTTACTGAGTCTGGCATTGAATACAAAATTGCTGTGATCGCTGACTTGGACGAAGAGCGGTCGAAGGTGTTTGACCAAGAGTATACATGGAAAAGTTATCTTAAAACAGGGTATTTGTTGAAAAGTAGTAATGGTTATAGTATACGGTGGGTGGACACCCAGACTATAACAACGCAAATTAATGAAAAAGGGCGTGGATTAGAACTTTCTGAGTTATGTGTGTTTAATAAAAAGTTATATTCAGTCGACGACCGCACAGGTATTATTTATCAAATCAAAAATGGTAAAGCTATACCTTGGCTGATATTAATGGATGGGGATGGAGAAACAGACAAAGGTTTTAAATCGGAATGGATGACAGTTAAAGATGGTGTTTTGTTTGTCGGTGGGCTTGGTAAAGAATGGACATCAAAAACTGGAGAGTTTATAAATTATAATCCTTTGTTTGTAAAAAGTATTGATTCTCTTGGGGGAGTCACTCATCATAATTGGACTTTGAACTTCTTAAAGATTCGCGAAGCTGTTGGAATTACATTTCCAGGATATATGGTTCATGAAGCAGTTATGTGGAGTAGTAAAAACAAGCGTTGGTTCTTTTTGCCTCGAAGAATGTCAAAATTAAAATATGATGATAAATCAGACGAACACAGAGGAACAAATGTTCTTATATCTTGCAAAGAGGACTTCACTGATATCAATGTTGTTCATGTTGGTGAATTAGATCAAACTCATGGCTTCTCATCATTCAAGTTTATTCCGGGCACAAATCAAAAGGAAATACTCGCTTTAAAGACTAAAGAAGTTGATGGAAATATTAGTACGTATATAATGATTTTTGACATTCAAGGAAATATCATTATGCCAGAAATGCAGTTTGCTTCTGATAAGTTTGAAGGGGTTGAATTTATATGATATGTCTTCTGTGCAATTATTTAATAGAAATTATTATTTTTTATTTATAATTTATATTTAGCTAGCTAATAGGATCATAATTTTTTATATGATCAGATTAAGTATTTTTATACTATTTAATAAATCTTTATATTTAACCAAGTATGTTAATTATTTTAGTGAAAAACTGGTTTTTATTAAGATTGTTTTGTAAAGTTTTCGTTTGATTTTGGCTTTGTTATCAGAGATGTTTGGTGTAAGAGAGTTTTTTTTAATGAAGCCATGTTGACTATTTATTTATTTAAATTTTTTTTTTTTTTTTTTGCATTTCAAAAATGGTTCAAATAAAAAAAGAAAAATGTTTTCAAATAGTATTTTCACATCTTGTATATTTGGTGCTCTTTTTTTTTATAAATTTATGTTCTTGTTTTGAAAGTTAGAGTCGCATTAATAAATTCTCTTTTTAACAGCAAAAAGTTATTTTGTATTAAACCATGGTTTAAAATGTTTTTCATTTAGCAAAATATGTTTTTAAAATAAAAAATATGTTTTTTATTTCAATAGTCTTGAATAAGTTTTACATAAATCTTGAATAAATCTTAGAAAAAAATTTTATTTTTTATTAAATTAGTGTTAAACACTAATTTAATAATTAGTAATTTTAGCCCATTATAAATATTGTATTTAGTTCACACATCTTTTAATTAACAGGGCACATTGGTTAACACTGTAATAAACCTTTATATGAGGTTGAATTGTTTACCAAACATTTTTTTACATTCTTAAGAATAATTTTCAAAACATGCAAGTTTTTAACATGGAAACATATATTTTTTAAGTCAAAAGAAAATGGCTGAAAAAGACAAGGGTTTTCAAATGTTATTTTCTTATGATAATTTTATTCACGCTTTTGCTGGAGCAACTGGCAGTGTTGTTGCAATGACTGCTTTTTATCCATTTGATACAGTTCGAACTCGTTTGCAAGGTTTTATTTACTGATTTTATCTTAGTTTTATTTGAAAACCTATTTTTTATAATTTTTTGAGAAATTATTTTTTTATAATTATATCCATTTTTAGCTGACGACAGCCTAAAATCAATGGGGCCGCTCCAGGCTATGAAACAACTAACAAAGGAAGAAGGAGTGTAAGGTTTTTGTCATGGTTGTTTAAATGTTTTGCTATTCAAATTATAATAAATTTATAAATTTTTAGTGATACATTATATCGTGGTTTGTCGCCTGTTCTAAGCAGTTTATACTGTTCCAATTTTGTTTATTTCTATGTTTTTAATGGTATGAAGACATTAGCAATTATAAAAGGATTAAAGGCATCTTCTGGAAAAGATTTGTTATTTGGATATATATCAGGTATTTTTTACACATTTATAAGATATTTTTTTGAGAAAACTTTTTTACATATTTGCTTATTAAAAATATAATTTTATTAAAATCTCTTCAGGGATAAGCAAAAATTTCTGTTGACCAGCTTTGCGTTTCTTATTTATCTATTAGGTTGGGGTAAAGATGTGTTGGATTGTTTCTTACCTAGGATGATGAAAGTTTGACCTTGATTTTATTAAAGTTTTTTTTCTATAAAATGTTAATGTGTTAAAAGTGCCATGCTTTGCAAAGAATGTGTCCTTTTGATTTTGAAGGAGCCTTTTTTTTTTTCCACAACTTTTTTTTTATTAACATGAATGAAGCAATTACATAACTTATGACATAGGTTGCACTATTTATATTGAGTCTAGTAAAGCTGAAAACTTTTACCTATGTTCCTTAGTTTGTGTTTTTGCTCTAACTATAACATTGAAGACTTTTGACTAATTTTAACATAAGATATCTTTCATATGGTGTACCTCGGAAAGTTTTAAAAATTATTGAATGATTATTTTTTTTTTTTTTTTAATTTTCTTTTTTTTACTCGCTAAGAGTTGGATAATGTTAAGTTAAGAGTTTTATTTACAATAACCAATCTTTTATTCGCTCCTCGAATTTACTAATCCTTCTTCCGCTCCTCGAGCTGTTGCTGTTGTAGAAAATATAAATTGTATCTTATAATAGAATCAGTTGTTTTTTTTAATAAACAATATTAGTAAAATAGTAGTACAGATTTGCATCTGCAAGATGATTGAGATTGAAGGAAAAAAATATATAAGTAGATTATAAGTAGGTCTTAACAAGAAAATTTTTTTTTATTTAGTTTAAACAAAGGTAATAAGTAAAAAACATTTTAATTTTTAAGATAGGTGATTCATAGAAAAACATTTTAATTTTCGAGATGATTCATAGAAAAAGTTTACATTATATGGATCAATCTGTACTCCAAAGGCATAGATCTATCAATAGGTAGCATGTTGTTTTCACATGCTTTAAACAAAAAACAGAAACAGAAAGTAGCAGATTGTTTACAGAATGTTGACTTTTTTCCTTAAAAATAATTAAATGAAACATCAACAAGTATTGTGAATCAATCAATCAAAGCAATCAGGCATTTTAATCTGCAGTCTTGTTCTAAACAGCAATACCTGAAATCCATTAATTCTTTGGAGTATTTAAGTTGTTTATAATTTAGATCATCCATTGAACCAGTTGTTTAAAATTATGTTTCCAATAAAAAAGACAGTTTACCTGGAAAAGGCAAAATGTAATTATTCTAATTATAAAATAACACCTTAGTGTGTAATTATTTTAAATAAAAAAAACTCCTTATTTATTTCACTTTCCTTATTTCTTGCTACTGTTTGATAAAACTTTATTTTGAAAAATATTGATGGATGTTTTTATTAGATTTTGGAATGAGACTTCTTGAGATATTTTTTTTTTTTTATGTAATAAGCAATACTTTATCTTTTAAAAACATTGTTTAAAAAAAAAGTAATTATTTATATCTTGTGACATTAGATTATTTGGGTTCTATCTCCCTTTTGTAATTTTGAGAGAATTGAACAAAATTTGTTATATTCCCTTAAATTGTTAAGATTAAACAACAAAATTTGTTAAATTAAAAATAAAAAAGTTTTTTAAAATTTTTCTTATATATTAAATCTGGGTTTAGGATGCATCAATGCACTGGTAACCACCCCTCTATGGGTGGCAAATACTCGATTGAAACTGCAAGGGGTTAAATCTAGTGATAATTCTCAACAAAATGTAAAAAGGACTGAACTAAAAGGATTAATTCGTGAGTAGGTATTTGTCTTGAATTAGGTATTATAAATTTGTTGATTTATTTATTTTGCTCTATATTCGATAATATTTTTATTGCTTTTACATTTTTTGTTATCTTTGTTTTATCTTTATGGTTAAAGGAAATAAATGCAAAATTTATATGGTATTTTGTTTTGTAAATTTTTATTGCTCACAATGATGAAACTACATTTAAACTAAAAGTTCTCCATCCAGGAGAACTTTTTATTATAAAGTATAAAAAAAAAAGTCTGCAACTGTATATTAAGAGAGGTTGATTGCCGACCTGTCATGTACACTTGTAGAAATGTTAGATTTTTTTTGTATTTTTTATTTTTTACTATTTAGAAATTCTTTTGAAAAGAAAATTGTAAAAAATTGTTCTTTAAAGTTTGTAAAAAAGTGACCGGTAATGTATAATAGAGTTTATTGTGATTTAAACTTTTGATACATTTTGGGCTTTTGAACAGGATTCACAAGACAACAGACAATCCAGCATGACCACTCCTAAAATGCAGTGCTGATTTTGGTTATTCTGCATAATAATGAAACTGTTGTCAATTTATATAAAACTAATTAAAACATAATAAAAATTAGAAATGTGCAGTGCAATAACTTTATGATGTCTGAATATATAATGTTAATAAGAATTAAAATTTTAATTAGTATAAAAGCTGGGCTTAGGTGGATGTATTAAAATGAAACTTGCCAAAATTTATGAAATTGGTTGTGCACTTCACAGCAAAGAATTACATTTACATCATGTTTTAGCACAGCTGATTGGTGATACAAACATTCTAATTGAAGACTGCATCACAAAATCATCACAATAAACCAATCGTCAAAATTGTACTTATTTTCTTTAATTATTCCCAAACAGAGTTTTTAGATTTTAATGTTTCCTATTTTATTTTTTTAGATTTAAATTTTTAATGTTATTTTTTAATTTCTTCTATTAAAAGAAATGTAAGAATAGTATAAGAAATTTCATTATTGTCACTAACTATTAGAAATATTAATCGTCATAAGAAACATCTTGCATCTTTTACATTACATGTTTTGACAGATTTTATAAGCATTAGCTGTTATAAATTGAGTGCTTAAGAAAGTCTTAATTTAAAAATGTAGTCCATTAACAGTAATAAGTTCTTTGAAAGTTTTTTTCCTTTTTTTTTTTTTTCCTTTTGTTAAGTATTTTATTATCTATTTATTATTAATCTTAGATGGAGTTTGCACAATAGCAGAAGAAGAAGGTGTTGCTGCATTGTGGAATGGTGTTCAGACTTCATTTATACTTTCTGGAAACCCAGCCATTCATTTCATGGTTTACGAAGCTTTAAAGCGTGTTTTATTACGTTCCAAAATCAGAAGTGGAAAAAATTTGGTTTGTTTTCATTATATTCTTTTGCAAACTATCATAATTATTATAGATTTTTTATTGAGATAAACACTAATAGTTAAAAACTTTAAAGAGATGTTGGTTGTTTGATAGGAAATTGTTAAATTACAAGGAAAGTGTTTTGTAAAAAAGTGCTAACCCCCATTCAAAAGTTATGTTTAGTATCATATTTGATTTCCTGAGGATAGTTCCTGTATTGAGTGAAAATGTTCTGGAACCAACATCAGTGTTGAAGTAGCATCTGGTGGCAAAAATGCTTGTTGGTTTGAACTTTTCTCAAAACAGCTTGGATGCGAGTTAGCAAGTTTTTATGAAAGATAATCCAAGTTTTCATGAAACTATTGTTATTAGTTATTATTCATGTATATTGTTACTAAATGTTATTACATTTTCGTGTGTGTGTGTGTATTTTTATTAGTCCTTATTAATATATATTGTTTTATGTTTATATATTGTTTTAATATATATTGGATTATGAGTAAAAAAAATTTCACTCATACTTTTCATTTAATTTGCTTTTATTGATTAAATTAGAGTTCATTGTTGTTTTTTATTATTTGTTCAGCAACTATCTTCACTTGAATCATTTCTGCTGGGAGGTTTTGCAAAGGCTGTCGCTACAGTTTTAACATATCCATTGCAATTAGTACAGTGCAGACAAAGGGTATATATTTTTACAGAGATTATCAAAAAATTAGGTTACCTAGCCACAAGGGGTATAAATAACCATAGTATTTTCATAATATAAAGTTTATTTTTTATTATAAAGAAAGTTTGCATAAAAATCTTTTAATAAAAATCATTTTTTTGTGTTTTAGAGATTTTTATTTTTTCTGAAAGCTATATTAAATACCAACATGATATGTTAAGTATAAATTATATATATGATATGTTACATATAAATCATATATATGATATGTTACATATAAACATTTGGGGTGTTCAAAAACTAGGTCATGGAAAAATTTTAACTAACAAATAGGCAATTTTTTGCGGACTAAAATAAAGAAATGAAAAACTGTTTGTTTGTTTTTTTAATTATTTTTTTTTTACCTCACACTGGTCTCATAAAATTTTCAAAAAAAACTTTTTTTTTTGTAAATTGCATAATATACCGGAAAAAAAAAACTGGATACTATTTTAACAAATGAAAGTTATTTAAAATACATACCAAGAATTATTTTAGGTTCATTTTCATGCTTTCATGGGGGACCTTTTCATGCTTTCATGGGGGACCTTTCTCTACCTTTTTTGGTTATTTCAGTTTATTTATATTTTCTCATTATTAAAAATAACCAATAAGGAATGGAAGGGATTTAGCAGTATTAGCAAGAAAACAGAAACGTGTTTAATGAGAAAAAATATGGTTGTATCATTTTTAATGATGCAACCTTTTTTTTTTCTGGTTAAACATGTTTCTGTTTTGCTAATAATAATGAAATCTTGAAGTCATGAAAAAATTAAAAATAAATAAGATTAGTAATAAAAGAAAATTTGCAGAGAGTTGTAAGTTTTATTGTAGAGAGTTGTAAATGAATTTTAATAAAGCAAAATTTTTTTCTGTGGTTTAGCTACTTCCTAATTTTCTTTGTATAGTTGTTATATTATTTTTTAAAACTTTTTTGAATTAAATGGCAATTATCTATGATATTCAATGTAAGTCATTTAAATTATTAACAGAATTAAAAAATGAGAACAAAAAATAGAGAATTAGAGCCTGTTGACAGTGGTAGTGGTTGTTCCAGCTCTCACAAACCTAAAAAAAGCCAATCATATTGACATTAGCGAAGACAACATCATAACACAATGAGAACAGCTCTGGTAGCCAACATATCTGCCAATAAAATCATTGCTACTCTAACAAAGTTGGTTATTGAAGGGTGAGGTAATCCAGATAAGCTGCCTCTTTCATATTTTAGTGTATATAGAATGAAAAATAAGATACTTGATGAAGATTTTGAAAAGTTAAAAAAATTATTGTAGTATCACATCAACCCCAAAGATAGCAAGCTTGAACTACATTTTGATGGCAAAATATTAAAGGATTTAATACCTGGGCACTGTAACAAAGCAAAGGACAGGATCTGTGTACTTGTAAGTTTTAATGGCAAAAATTGTCTGCTAGGTGCACCAGGCATTGACTCTAACACTGGCCTAAACCAGTTTAATGCAATCAGTGACCTTTTGTAGGAGATAGACATAGCTGACAATGTGCACTCTATATGCTTTGATAATATCAGCAGCAATACTGGCAAACTGTGTGGAACTATATACAGGTGAATAAAATAAGAATATATTTTTAAAATCTTATTACTAACTTTAAATTTTTGTTGTTTAATTTTTGAAGCACTATAGCAATAATGTAAGGCTACAGAAATATTGATCATGATTTAACTGTGGTAAGTATAAAATGAAAGAATGCTATTTACTTTTAAGACTAAGATCTGACCTTGGCAAGCCCTTACTGATGTTGGCCTGCGGTCTCAATGTAGAAGAGGTCCACATCAATCATATCGAAAAGGCTATTAGTTGTAATACAACTATTAGTCCTGAAAATCCTCTTTTTAAATTGCTTCATAAATAATGGCATTCCATCGATACTGAAAGCTGCCAGCTGAATAGGTTTGAATGGTTGAAACCAGACATTGGTCTTTTACAGGTTTTTTAACAAAACATAAATATTAAGATTAAATATAAATTGACTATTACTAAATTTTATGCATTATAACCATATATTTATAAAATTACAGAAGTATATAATTTTTTCTTTATCAGGACTTGAATTCTATATGGAAGATGTCCAGGTATGTTCATGATGAACCTGCTGCAAGTGCACTGTTCAAATCATGGGAAAACTATAGCTGGTACCTGGATCCAACTGTTGTTCCCATTGTGCTGGCAAATTCAGATGATTCAATCACTGAACAAAAAAAGGAGATGATCACCAAAAATCTCAATAACATATCCATACCAAATGACTATGACATGGATAGACATAGCAATTACAGTTTCTTAACCAAAGCTGCTTACCACAAATAAGCTAAGAAGAAAACACCAGCTCAACTTTTGAAAGAGTTTCCTGTCATAGAAGATGTAAATGTATTCAGCTTCTGTGAAATGGACACTGAATCAGATAGCAGCACTGATTTGTTTCCTGGTGTTAATGCTGTAGAACAACTGTTTGGTGACCATGAGGCTGCTAATAACAGCTAGTTAATTATTTTTTGTTGATTTTTGTAATTTTTGTTTAATACATTTTTACTAGGGCTGTACCGGATTTAATTTTTCCAAATCCGGCCAGAGCCGGATTTGCTGAATTTTTACTATCAGATCTAGCCGGGATCAGAGCCGGAGCCGGATTCTGAAGCAAAACTACAGGAGCTAAAATCATGTACATCCCTACTTGGTGCTGAAAATGGTCAACAATGTTGATTATTCAGAATACCAAGTGACAGCTGTTTTCTGTTAAGCTTCATTTTTGTTGTTAAAAAGTTTTTTTAGCAATTTCTATAGAAATTAATAGACATTTTATATAAATTCTATAGAGTTTCTATAGGCCATATATTTTTTTAAATTTAGAGAATTTTATAGAACTTTTTTTTTCCAGGATGTTGTCACTCCGCCACTGTAGTGAATCAGCGTGTCTATCTTTTTCTGTTTCTTCCAGATATTGGCTTAGCTGAGTGTCAATGCCTGTTGCTAATTGTTGTTCATGTGCTGTGCCACAAGCGGGCATAGATTGAATAATTTCATCTATATATATTGCCATTGTAATGATAATGTATAAGAATTATCAAGCCGGGCTTGTTTTGCTGGATTTTATTTAGTTTTGTCAATCTGCTGATAAAAATCACCACTATATAAAAAGGTTTCTCCTCGATGCCTTTAAAACGCTCATCCAATGACTTTATTAGGATTGCCTTCATAGTCTTTACACCTGCATTATTGCAGAATATCGTGTGTCTTCTTTCAGAATTTTTTGTTGTGTTGTTGTTTGAAATTAGACTTTGCTAATTAAATTGTAAAGAAATGTAAATACAGATACCAAAACAAACAGTTCATAGACTTTGTAAAAATAAAATATTAAGTATACATGTTATCACGGGCAAGAAAGATAAATATCTAATAAATATCTGACCAAAATTCAGAAATCCGGCCAAAATTATACCGGATTTGCTAACATTTTGCCGGAGCCAGATTTGGGCCAGATTTGTAAAAATGGCCGTATTTCTGCAGGAGCCGAAATTTGGTACAGCCCTAATTTTTACTTTAATCAAAATACACTGCTGATTATTTTGTTTCTATAAATTATTTAAGCATACATTAAAAAAAATCAGAGTTCTATTTTCATCAGAAGACCCACCATCAGAAAAACCTGGGTTTCATATTGATTGATTGGTTGCAACCAGTAAAAAATGTCAATAATGGTTACAGGTCTGGTACAAAGCATGAAAATGAACCTACAATCATAATTTTTGGTATGTCTTTTAAATAACATAAACATTCATTTGTTAAAATAGTATCCAGTTTTTGTTATTTTTTTCCCGGTATATTATGCAATTTATAAAAAAAAGGGTTATTTTGAAAATTTTATGAGGCCAGCACAAGGTAAAAAAATAATTAAAAAAAAAGCAAAAAATATTTTTTGGTTTCTTTATTATAGTCTGCAAAAAATTACCTATTTGTTAGTGAAAATTTTTATAAAACATATATATATGATTTATATATAACATATCATATATAAAAACATATATATGATATGTTATATGATGTTACATATAATTCATATATATACAATATGTTATATAAATCATATATATGATATGTTACATATGCATTAAAATAAGTCATATTACATACCAACCATTTAGTCATTTATATCTCTTATAATGTTTGATTACAAGCTCATCCGAATGCACATAATAAAATGAAGTCAAATACTATTTTTTTAGTAGTTTTTTTTATTTCATAGTACTTAAAATATTTCATATTATTTAAATGTTCCTAATAAAATTATTTACAGTCCTCTTTTTATGTTATTTTTTACACCTAAAGAATTTATAGATTATCTTTTTTACCCTGTGCTGAATGCTTTCTAATATTTTTGTCATTTAAATGAATAACATACTGAAGCATAGCTTGATTAAAGGTATACTGGCTGCTTGGTGTATATACTGATTATACTTGCTGCTTGAGACACTTTTAGTCCAGGGGAACTTTATGTTTTAGATTCAAAGATACTTAAAACGTTAGTATATTTCAAACTTACTCAATATGTATAACGAAAGTGTTAATTGGCCTATTTGAAGATTTCATGATAATATTTTAATATCATCAGCACAATTATTTTTGATCAGGTTGGTTGACAATAAATAGTGTAAAACCAACCAATGATCCTACAGCATTGACATGATAACAAAATAAATCAGTTTACATTATTTTGTAAACTTAAATTTCTTAAATAAATAACCTTTTTTTTATTTAATTGTCTTAAAATTATTTTATCTGAAACCAATTCACTAAATTATATCAAAAGTAAAAATAATTTTATATTTTGAAAAATATGTTACTAGTAGTTTTGTTTGGCTAAATTATGTTAAAATATAAAAAATTTTGTGTATAAAAATGTGTCATGTATAAAAAAATTTGTTAAGTTGGCGGAATTTCTGAAAAAATCTCAAATTCAATTGATAAAACCCCTCCAACCCCTCCAAATTTTTTTTTAAAAACATCCGCAACTCCTAACCACCCCCCACCTCATCTAAGAGTTAACACCCTACCCAAACAAAAATGTATATATAAATCCGGTAGAATATGTTTTATATTCTTGTATTCTAGTAGAAAATATCTATCATTTCATACATTCCTTTTGCAACCACTTTCCAATGATTCTAAAAAAAAATTACAAGCTCTATTTGCTCCATCTATATCCTTCCTTCGCCACAATCTATTGACTAATCAATGTAATTCGAAGGTAACTCTTTCCACCGCAACATTTATGACACCCCAATCTATGAATTTTATTAGATCCTTTCCCTCCTTCCTTTAATTAAACAAAGGAGAGTAATAAAGTAATGTGCAATAGTTAAAAATTTTATTGCCGTAATAAGTATCATTCATGAGGTATCTGAAATATACATATATACTTAGATAAAGTATCTGATATATACCATGTATATGTCACATTTATACATAGATGAAAGGCATTGGTTATGGAAATAACATTTTTCTTTTCTATTCTTTTTTTGAATTAGATTTAGTTTTTTGAAAGTTATACAAAAAAATGTACAAAATCTACCAGTATTGTGGTGACTTAAATTAGTGGAACTAACAAATATTTTTTTAGGGTTTATTTATTTTGTTATGAAGTATCGTTTTTAGGCTTACAGAAGCAATGGAAGCAATCTCTCTGTAAGTCAAATCATTGCACATGTCTTAAGGTTAGTTGTTTAATAGTTTATTTTTTCTTTATTGTTTAATATTTTTTTCTTTTTTTTTGCTTAGTTTTTAAAAATTGTAATAAAGTTGCTTTGCATACATTGCATTAATATCGTGTCATACAGCAATCTTGGTATCGTTTTTCGATCCCAGATATAAAAATATTTTGAAGCTTTATACAAAATGTTTTGGCATTTTGATAAAGAAGGCAACTCCTTTAACTTCAATTTTGTTTTGACTATAATCAATAATAAAGTATAACTTTGACTATTACGTTGGGTTGACTATGACAAAATCTACTAGGTTCATATAACGATTTGTTCATGCATACAAGTCATGCATATAAGACATTACATACATGCATAAGACATTACATACATTCATATAAGACATTACATATATGCAAAAGACATACAATAACATACACAAAAGCCATACATTACAAGCTGTGTGACACTACGATGTATTAAAGCTGTTTCTTGTTTAAATTTTTAAGCAAAAAATTAAGTTTTTTAAGCATAAAATTTTGGCGATTTTGGCTGTAAACAGATAAGTATCCTAAAAATGTATTTACTGTTGTATTTGTTTACCGGTGTTTTTATGTCATATTTTGGTGTATTTTTCAGTAATATAATCCGGTCGTCATCTGTAATGGATAATTTGACTAATTTATAACTATATAGTTATATAAACTAAAATTCCGTTTATATTTAAAATTCTTTTTAGTCATATTTTTCTTTAGGAACTCAGGTTTGTGGGGTTTATTTAAAGGCATGGAAACCAAGTTGGTACAAACAGTGTTAACTGCTGCTTTGATGTTTTTGACCTACGAAAAAATAGTTTCACTTATCTATATGCTGTTGAGCTCTAAAAAAAGTAAATACCGTTTGAACAAATAGTACTTTTAATAAAATAATTTCAAGTATAGAAAAAACTTTATTCAATCGGAATACCAAAAATATACGGAGAACAATATTTTAAAATTTTCTAAAATATTTTTGATGATCGTCTATTGTTTTTACTAATAATTAACATTTTGTTAAAAGTTTTTTAATTTTTTAAATATATTTCAATTTGGATAAATGTATTTTTATTTAGTGAATAAAAATAAAAGAATCTTAAATAAAAATGAACTTAAAATAAAGATCATCATAAAATAAACATAAAAGAACCTTGTAGACTTGTATACTATATTTAATAAAAAATATAAAAGTTATGTAAGTATAATATCCAAAAGCTTTTTATAATTGATATAGAGAGAGCTAAAAACACAATTTTAAGGTATTACCGTAGAAGTCCCTAATTCCGAACATTTTTAGTTCTCTTATTGTTACCTCTAATTTTAGTGGGATTTTCAAAAGGAAAACTGATTTAAAAAACAAACAATTTAAAACCGTCTTTTAAAAAAAAAGCAAGTTAAATTGTATACTGTTCGGTGTAGAATTTAATGGTGATTATTTATCTGAAAAAGTTGGCGTTTAGATGCCAACAACGTTGTTGCTTTTAAGTTTTTTATGAATTTTTTAACATCTTGTTTATCTTAACGTTAGAAAAGAAAAAAAATGTCAAAAGTTAACGAAAATGAAGATGGCGAAAAGAAATTAAACTTTGTATCGAGGCTATCATAATAAGAAAATGTCATATTCAGAAGTCGCTTTATGCTATAATATTCCTAGAACAACTATACTTTGCAGGTCACAAGGATTAAATGAAGCTGTTGATGTTGGTAGGCTATGAGCAATTTGCCAAGTAACGAAAAGACTTTTTGTTGAACTTGTACAGTTTAGGGATCGTCCATAAATTACGCAACGCTAAATTTAACTAATTGACAAAACAAAAAAGATCAAAAGTTTTCCTTAATAAAATAGCCCGTAAAAACCGCCGCGCAAGAAAGCAAAATGATCTCCTACTTCTATTTTTTAAATAAGTTATGCGTTACGTAATTTACTGACGATCCCTTATGAGTGACTTCAGCTTAAAAAGAAATGATATTTTAACTGTGGTCAAAAACTGTTTGAAAAAATCTAAAAAAAACTTATTTATTTAAAGCCGGTAAACCAACTTGAAAGTGGTACTATAGTTTTATAAGGAAATATGCAAAAAAAACATTTGTGATAGAAAAGCTACTAGCATGCAAGCTGTAAAAGCGGTGTCTTAACAACCGGCGATTATTGATAAATGGTTCACCTAAGCTAAAACGCTGTTTACCGAAAAGTTCACGTAAGCTGAAAAGCCGTTTCATGTATTCAACTGTGATGAAAGTGGATTGAAATTCGATAAAGGTAAATTCAATATTTTTCATTTAAAGAATCCAAAATAACTCTCCCAACAAATGAAAAACAAATTAGAATTTTAACTTGTTGCAATGCTTTTGGAAGTTTTCTACCACATCAAGTCATTTGCAAAGTCATTGCAAATTATACATTAAATATTTAAAAAACAGAAACGAAGCTAATCTTAATGTCTATAAAGAATATAAAAATCTGTTTGAAAAAATAAATATAAAAAAAGATATTATTCTGAACATTTAAAAAATAATAATGGAATAATAAACATAAAGTAAACGTAGGAAGTTATGAAAGAAATAATTGGTAAAAATAAAATAGTTTCTGATATTTTACTCTCCAGAATAACAGAAAACGATATTGAGTACAAAAACAAAAAAGATATATCAGAAATATTCAATTTTTTTTTATAAACACTGGTCTAAACCTGGCATCAAAAATAAAAGGCTCAGAAAAATCGTTTCAAAATTATTTTAGTGACTTTGAGAGTTCATTGTCAGATAGTGATCTAACTTTTGATCAAATCAATTAAAAAGAATAAAGCAATCAAATCAATTAAAAAGAATAAAGCCCCAGGTATTGATGACATCTCTGGCAATGTTGTACTTGATGCTTTTTCTACAATAAAAAGGCCTATTTTTAATATCTTCAGCTCTTCAATCAAAAACGGGATTGTCCCAGACATATTAAAAATAGCAAAAATTGTACCTATATTTAAAGGTGGAGATACATCTGCAATAAGCAACTATAGACCAATCTCAATTCTCCCTATATTTTCTAAACTCCTTAAAAGAATAATTTACAACAGACTATATAAATATTTAATAGAACACAAAATCTTAAGGTGGTACATAACCAGAAATTTTGAAAAAAATCAAAAAAAATATTATCGTATTTAATGTAATATTTTATGAGAAACACAGTTTTAGAACTATTTTTTGAAAAAAACTGCATAAATAATGTTTTAGGCAGCTTTTCCAAAGAATAATAAATTTTTCGGACATAGCAACGTCCTTAGCCACCATCTTACCTATTTTACCTTGACATTATGGAAAACTATTTTACCAGTTTATAACAATAAAAAAGCCCTTTACCTGCTTGTTAAGTTAAAGTTATTATTCATACTTTCAAAGCACAAATTCGTTTGCTATAAGTCTTAAAATTAATGCTTTGTTTATATGTGATAATAACACTTTTTGTAACAACAGTTTTAATTTAGAAGTTTTATTAAATAATATGCCAAGAACTCGTTCTGGAACAAAAAAGAGATCATTTGTTTGCAATCGGTACAAACAATATGTATAAAGGCAACTATATTTTATAATACAAAAATTTTAGATAAAAATATTAGGCATCAGTTTTGTCAACGCACCAAAGATACCTGGTGTTTATGGCAGGCTGACAAATTAACAGGTAATAAAACATACATGAAAAAAACTTATGCCTCTCAATTACAATTAAAGATTTGTTAATGTCAGTTTGGCATGGTTTATCAGCAGAATCGCTATTGTTAAAATGTTTGCATGGCCAAACTCAAAATAGAAACGAATGCTTAAACAGTATGATCTAGAAAAAATGTCCAAAGGAAATTTTTGTGTCACGAAAACTTCTTGAAATTGGTATTTGTTCAGCAATCATTGAATTTAATGATGGTAAATCTGGTTTAAGCCTAATAATGCAAATGCTTGGACTGCCAGTTTCACAGTTTATGCATAATGCATTTAAAAAAAGTGATATAGAGCGCATAAGAAATGTTCATAGTAAGTCATCAATCAAAGGTGTAAAAGCAAGAGGAAAATTAAGAGCCATTAGAAATAGATTTTAGGATAAAGAAAAAGAAAATGAAGAGATACCTGCTTATTCAGCAGGCTCAAATTAAGTAAATCATAATATTTTTTGTCAGTTTATCTTTATTTGTACAATTTTCTCAGTATTTAATTTTTACCCATTTTGTTAACTTTAAAACGTGATATTTCAAAATCAGGATAAACTTTTAGGTTGAAATTTTTGCTATATATTCTTGAGCTTTAATGGCACGAGTTGAACTAAAACTATTATTTTATACACAAAACTTGTCATCTTATAGCGCTTTTTATAAATCCTAACTATACAAAATATAATCAACAAGTAAAAAATGTCAATATCTTCTGAACTACTTTGTATTATGACTTAGTTTTAGTTCAACTCCTGCATTACGATACAATAAAGAACTGGTGAAATTTTCAAGTCTATAACTATATAGGTTTTTTAAATATTTTGTTTACAATATACCATCAAAATATCAATTTTTCAGTAATAATCGAGGCAAAAATACTTGATTAACTACTTTTTTAATTTAATTATTTCTAAATAATTAATTTCAAAAAAAAAAAAAATTAAAAAATTGTTGTGCATTGTCTTATTTCCAATTTTATTTTTTATGGTTATGTACTACCTTAAGTAAAAATCAATACGGATTTCAAACGCAACATTCGACGGAATGTTGCGTTTGAAATTCGTATTGATTTTCCCTTGAAATTTTGTGTTCTATTAAATATCCTAGATCTCATTAATTCACATTACGACTTCCTTTAGTGATAAAAAATTTGTATTAGGAGTCTATATTGATCTTACAAAGACGTTTGACACATTAGACCACGCAATACTATTAAAAAAATGGAAAAATAATGCATAAAAAATCAGTCTATAAAATAGTTTGCCTACTACCTAAACAACAGACAACAATGTGTTACTATAGATTACTATAACAACTTGAATCAACTAAAAATCAAATGTGGGGTCCTTCAAGGATCTATTCTAGCTCCTCTTCTATTTTCAACTTATGTCAACGACCTCCCTAAAGTCTCATCTAAGTTAGATTGCATAATTTTTGCAGACGACACTAATCTGTTTTATTCATCTAGCTCAATTAGTGACCTCTTTATAACCGCAAACTTAGAACTTATTAAACTTAAAATATGATTCAGAGCTAACAAATTATCATTAAACTAAAAAAAACTAAATACATCTTATTTCACCCCGAGCAAAAAAAAAAAAGCTATCCCATCAACTTTACCAACTCTAGGTATAGACAACACAATTCTTGAACGAACTCAATCATCTAAATTTCTTGGTGTCCTTCTTGACAAGAATTTATCATGGAACTCTCACATAAATACCATTAATACAAAAATCTCAAAAAACAATGGTCTACTATATAAAGCAAGAAATTATTTATCGTTTAAAAATTTAAAACTTCTTTATTTTTCCTTTATACACAGCTATCTATCATACGCCAATATAGCATGGGCAAGTACCCATAAAACTAAATTAAGTTCACTCTATAGACAGCAAAAACTCGCTTCAAGAGTTATATTTTATAAAAACAAACTTACTCAGGTAAACCCATTACTAAAACAGATGAATGCTTTAAACATTTACCAAATCAATATATATCAAAATATTTTGTTTATGTTCAAATATAAAATGGGAACTGTTCCAAGTCAATTTATAAATAATTTTTTTAAAACTAATATAAATAAATTTAGCACTAGAGCAACTGGAAACTATATAGTAATGTTATATAAAAAAAAAAACTATCCCAATTTTCTATAGCATATCGTGGTCCTTACTTGTATTACAAATTAATACCAAAAAATTCCACAATATCCCTCCTGAAAAATATAAATTCCTTAAAAGCTAATCTTAAAAAAATCGTCTTAGATACAAGCAGATTTATGGAAATTTTCTAATATCTTATGAGTATTCAAATATCAAAAATATGTCTTAAAAAATAAAGAATTTAAAACT